TCCCTGCTCGGCAGGGAGTCTGCTTCTCCCTCTGACCCTCCTCCCTCTCATGCTCTCTGTCTCTCATTCTCTCTGTCTCAAATAAATAAATAAAATCTTAAAAAAAAAAAAGTAAAAAACAAAACAAACAAACAAAAAAAAAAACAAGAAGTGAAGTCACTGGGAAGGAGCCTGTGCCTGATTGGTGGCAAAGGGAGATGCTCAGCCTCTGAATAACAAAGAATGACTGTAGAGTGGGTCAACTACATACTCACTTTTTTTAGAAGTCTTCTAAAATCCATCAGTGTTCTGACATTGGACTCATTGTCTCCAGGAAGTAGCAGAAATTATCAGGTGGTAGGGGCGCCTGGTGGCTCAGTCATTAAGCATCTGCCTTCAGCTCAGGTTCATGATCCCAGGGTCCTGGGATCGAGCCCCACATCGGCTCCCTGTTTGGCGAGAAGCCTGCTTCTCCCTCTCCTGCTCCCCCTGCTTGTGTTCCCTCTCTTGCTGTGTCTCTCTCTATCAAATAAATAAAAAAAGAAAGAAAAGAAATTATCAGGTGGTAAAGAAAAAAGAAAGTCCTTCATTTTGGAGAGTCTGTTTATATTGTTTTTTATAAAATGCATACTCTTTTATAATTAGTGTTTCTTTCTCTCCATCCCTCTGTCCCACTCTTCTCCCAGATATTCAGAGGCCTAGAAGTCTGTTGCTATGGGCCCTTTACCAATATGCCCACAGGTAAGAGACTGGGAGAAGTGCAGAGTCCAGCACCAGCCTTTCTCTTACATGGTGGAGTGTTTCAGGAGAGACCGTCTTAACAGGGCTCCTCAGATTGGTGGGGTGCTCTAGAGCTCATTCTGTTTCTCTACCATCTGTCAGACAAAACTGCACCTGAATGTTACCCTATGTCAAAAAACCAGCCCTGTGCCCTTTCTCAAGAGCTAGAAGGCCCTGAAAATTTAACTTCTAGGATGCAGTGTTCTGTGCTCAGATGGGTAGAGCTGCCCTTACTGCCCTTTGGTTTAAGAAAGGAGGGAAAGAATAAGGTGGGGAGAAGATACCTTTCAGGTTTGTAAATGTTAAAGAATTCTGCTCTTCCTAAATCATCTTCATTTGATACTGAGAAACAAGCATGGCAGCTACATAAGCCCTGTGGGCCTGGGGCCCCACACAGGCCCAGAGCAAGCAGGGAAGGACTCTTGATGAACATTTTCTAATTAACTCTGACATTGAATGTGATGTTAGGTTTAGAAGTGCTGTGGGGCTCAACTCCGGAGTTGTGTGGCACTGAGGCCCTGGCGTGTGTATAGATTTGGTTTGTTCTTTTCGAAACAAGGTCCACCCACCTTTGCTTCTGCGCCCACTTCCTCCCCAGGGATTAGGTTCTCTTACTCCTCAAAAGATGGCCTTGGCATCTGGTCAGGGACAGATGAGTGGCAGCAAGAGAGCCCGGCAAAGTAATTTTACTTCTGTCTTCTTTGTTGGTTATTGATTGGATTTTTATGAAATTTCCAAGTGCCACTTGGGGATTTCTCAGTGTTTTTGTTCTTTGGTGTAATGAAAACCAGGTCTCTAACAGGTATCGTTTTGGAGATGAGTCAGTTGATCTCAGTTCTTTAAGACAAACAGGAGCCACCTCCACAATCCCCAGAAACGGACTGCTGAAAAAAAAGCCCCCAAAGAGGCCCAGAAGCCATTCATTGGTCCATTCTGCTGATTTTCCAGGTGCAGGTGGAAAATCTCTACAGTCCCTTTTGATTTCTGTTCCCCCGAGTGTGTCGATTCCAGCTGAGCACGGAGCCCTTCCCCACTGATGTACTGAGTCTCCGTTCAGGATGATGTGTATTTTTTTTTGACTGAATGAATTATCTTCCTATCTCTTGACACTTACAGTAATTACCACCAAGTATGGTGTCCTCGGTGGCCGTGATTATCAATTACCACACGGAATTCGGCAGGGAGGGAGGGAAAGCAAGTGGGTATTTTTTCACAGTATCTTAGCCAGCAATTTAGCAAATTAGGGAAGTTGGATCTTGGATTCTTTTCTTCCAAAGTGTCTTATTTGAGAGACTGTCAAACCTTATCTACCAAGGGGCCTTCTGGGGACCGATAACCAGGGTAGGTAGCATATCGTTGGCAAACTTAGAATCCATACCTGGTATAGATTCTAGTTCAAGGCCTCTCTGTCCTTTTGGAGCAGGGATAGAGACTGTCCCACTTTGAAGTCTTAAGTCTTGCTGTAAGCCTTCATCCAGAGGAGTGTGGGGTAGAGGGCCCAGGTTAAGTGTGTAGAGTACTGTGGTGATCTTAGGTCTCTCTGTGCTATTTAGATCAACTGGAGTGGATGGTGCACCTCTGCGGGGCTTCTGTGGTGAAGGAGCCTTCGTTATTCACTCTCAGCAAGGTAAGTGTTTGATGCCCTGTCAGAGGGGGACAACACAAAATCTGTCCTATGACTGAGCAAGGCTGGTACCCATCAGTCCCTGCGAACCCTGCCAGGGGGCCTCAAAAGCCTCTCTTAGCCCGAGCCTTCTCTGATCATGTGCCAGTGCCAGAAAACTCCCACGTGTGGAGGGTCAGTAAGGACTTGAGTTCTCTAAGTATTTAATTTATTAAGGGAAGGTTCTCCCTCCAATGCTTCCTTTTTGCCTTGTGCCCTTCGCCATCCTTTCTGTGGTGGCACCTAAAGTAGTCTGCTTTAGCACACCATCAAGAAATGGTGAAGTGACTGTTGCAAAAGTCCAGCTCTGATACGCTCCATGCTGTTTCCTTCCTGGGGATGCAGGGTACTCACCCAGTGGTGGTCGTGCAGCCGGATGCCTGGGCAGAGGACAGTGGCTTCCATGGTAAGTCTTGCTGTAAGCCTTTGTCCAGAGAAGTATGGGTGGCAGGGCCCAGATGAAGTCTGTAGATGACTGTGGTGATTTTAGACCTAAATGTCCTGTTTCAATCAACTGGAGTAGATGGTGGACCTGTATGGGGCTTCAGAAAGCTATGGGTATGTGCCTGTGACATATGGGGTCCTATGTGATGAGTTTGGTTCACCACAGATCACCCAGTGTTTGATTAACACAGTTCTCATGACCTTCTAGGTGCTCAGTGAATATTTGAATGAATAAATGAAGGAATGAATGAATGGCTAAAATGTCCTTTTAAAACAGTGGTTTGCTCATTTTGCATTTATAAAAGTAATGCGTGAGTTATTTCCATTGGTGGGGGTTAAATATTAATTAATGTTCATCACATAAAATATAAATGAGCATAGGGACACCTGGGTGGCTCAGTCATTAGGTTTCTGCCTTTGGCTCAGATCATGATCCCAGGGTCCCGGGATAGAGCCCCACATCGGGCTCCCTGCTCAGTGGGAAGCCTACTTCTCCCTCTCCCACTTGCCCTGCTTGTGTTCCCTCTCTCGCTGTGTCTCTCTCTGTCAAAGAAATAAATAAAATCTTTAAAAATACATATATATTATAAATGAGCACAAACACAATGAAATAATTCTAGTAATCCCACCACTTAGAGACGGTGATGGTAAAATTCTTCCAGGCGTGTGTGCATATATATGTACACGCATATATTTTACACAAATGTGATCACGCTTATCATACTGTTTTGCTTTCTCACCTAAGAGGTTGCAATATCATTAAATTGCAGTGCTGTTTTGTGCTCTCTGGTGACTTTTTTTTTTTTTAAGATTTTATTTATTTTTATTTGAGAGCGAGAGCAGGGGAGGGGCAGAGGGAGAGAGAGATAATCTCCAGCAGACTCCACACTGAGCACAGGGCTCAACGAGCAGGGCTCGATCCCAGGATCCTGAGATCACGATCTGAGCTGAAACCAAGAGTTGGTCGCTCAACTGACTGAGCCACCCAGGCGCCCCTGGTGACTTTTCCTTTAACAGATTGGAGCTCCTGTTAGTAAAGTTGCTAGAGGCTGTAGGCTTTCACCAGCAGTCACTCCTCAGGCTTCTGAATGAGGTCCTGTGTCCTGAAGCATTATTTAAGATCAGCAGTTTTGCACTCACCCGAGTGACCCTATGAACTCCTACAACCAGGTCCCCGGAGTAGATTGACAGGAGTCTGGTCTGGGAAAACGTGAAGTGACACTTATTTCTGCTTGTGTTCTCTGTCCCCAGCGATTGGGCAGATGTGTGAGGCACCTGTGGTGACCCGAGAGTGGGTATTGGACAGTGTAGCCCTCTACCAGTGCCAGGAGCTGGACACCTACCTGATCCCACAGATTCCCCGCGCTGCTGCTCACTCCAGCCAGCCATGCGTGTAGCGTCTGGAGCCTGTCTCCATAGGACCCCGAGAATGATCCTAAGAAGCAGCCTTTTTCCAGGCTCCAGGAGCTCTTCTTCAGTCCTTCCACAGTCCCGGTTACTGAATATTTTATGTACATTAGCCTGAGAAGAAATTCTGGCTATGCAAGGGTCCCTTAAAGATTTTCTGCTTCAAGTCGCCCTTTGAAATCTACCATGAGCACAAAATTGTCCTAATTTTTCACTTGGAAAGAATTTAAAACCATTTAAACCCCACCAATTTAGCAAGATGCTGATTCATTATTTATTAGCCCTATTCCTCATACTGGGGATGTTGGCTTAGAGCTGGAGGCACGGGATGCTGGCCTCCGGAGAGTAGCTGGTCTCCCTGAGTTTGCTCCTCTAAAACCCGAGTCAGACCCTTCAGTGGAAAGCGAGTACTTGGGGAATCTGTGACGTGACTTAAAATCAGAATAGTCCTCGGGCGGCTCTCAAATGTTGGAGTGGAGCAGGGGTGGGGGCCGGAGGGATTCAGAGGCAGGTAATAGATGTAAATATGAACGCTGAGGGTTAGAGGAGAGGGGAGTCACACTGGCCCTGATCTCCAGAAGTCTGTGCTATAGCCACTGGATTTCTAAGGAATTTCGTAGCACTGATGTGCTCTGAAATAGAATCTCTTCAAGAACTGGTGTCCGAAGAGAGTCTTCTAATTCCCCGTTAGAAATAAACACAGTGTTTGTTGTTGTAGCTCTGATATGTCACCCATTCCTCTTGAAACATAAGATCTCTGATATGGATATTTCATGTCTGAAAATGACGGATCCCACCAGGAAAGGAGCTGTTGCTCTCCTTGAGGTAATTTTTTCCTCTGTGCCTCCTCTTGCTGAACTGTATAGCTTCGTAAATAATTTTGTTTGCCGAAGGAAGAGAAAGTGTTTTTCATCAACTCATTATCCAGGACTGTTTATAGCTGTTGGAAGGACTAGGTCTTCCTTAGTCCCCCAGTGTGTGAGGGCAGTACAGACCTGATTGTACAAAATGTTTTGTAAATGTTGTGCTATTCACCTGCAAATAAACTTGGTAGCAAACACTTCCACCGAGCATGACTTCTTGAGGCTTACAGCTGCAGACCTGCTCAGACCCTTTCACTGCACTTCAGTCTCCTCATCTGTAAAATGGGGGTAACAATAGTACCAACTCCGAGCATTAACCGAGGAGACTTCAGTACCTCCTGTATTTGCTCTTGCTGCCATAGCAAATTGTCACAAACCTAATGGCTTAAAACAACATCCATTTATTATCTCACAGTTCTGTAGGTCAGAAGGCCAAGTTGGCTCAACTGGTGGTTTCTTTGTGTCGGGTTTCACAAGACCAAAATCAAGGCAGCAGGGCTGGGTTCCTTTCCACAGGCTCGGGGGATGAATCCGCTTCCAAGCTCATTTCATGTTGTTGGCCAGATTGTTCCTCACAGTTGTGGGACTGAGAATCCCCGTTTCCTTACTGGCTGTTGGCCAGAGGTCATCCTTAGCCTCTCCCACATTCCTAGGCTCATGAACCCCTAGCTGCATCTTCAAAGCCAGCAAGCAACCCTGGTCAAAAGCTTTTCTCATGTTCGGAGTCTCTCTGACTTCCCCTTCCTCATCTCTCTGACTGCCGGATCTAGCTCCTGCCAGAGAAATTTCTGTTTTTAAGGGCTCAGGTGATTAGACTGTGCCCACCAGGTAATCCAGGGTGATCTCCCTGTCTTAACGTCCATAACCTGAACTACAGCTGCAGAGCCCCTTCGCAGCAGGACCCAGATTAGTGTTTAATTGAATAACCAGGGGACAGAATCTGGGGAGGGTATCTTGAGATTTCTGACAACCACTCCCATTTAACATACTTAATCCACAGATAAGAATCTGTATCATCATTTTTTGGTCTTCACATGTTCAGAGATTAGAGTCCTCTTAGAGGCAAAGAGAAGTAGATGCCCACACAGTTCAGCGTTGCCACGTTTGTAAGGAAGGTGGGTGGGTGAGGGAAGAGTGGAGAAAACGGAACTGGCATCACGTTTGTCTCGGGGTCGTCGTCACAGCCCTAGGCAGTGGGTATTCAGCACCTCATTTGAATAAAGGAGAATGGGAAAGAGATTTTGCTCAGAGTTTGCACAGCTAGTAAGTGACAACCTGGAAATCTAAACCCATGCCCTTTCTGCCCCATCATGGAGCTTCCCACCCGCATCCGTCACGGATCCGGGTCAGAGGCACTGGCTCAAGCCTCAAGGGAACTTGGGGAGAGGAGTGGGTTGTGAGGGGAACTAGCACTCTAGACTCTTTTGTGGGCCACAGTGGGAGGCAGTAGAATGTTCCTGCCTCCCAGCAGCAGCTCTCCTCGAGAAAAGCAGCCCTCCTTTGCCCTCAGCAGAGACTGACAGGATTGGCCCACAGCTGCCGGTTTCCACCTCCATCCAGCCTCCCGATTATGGTTGCTTATCTTTCAGGGATCAAAGCCTTCCAGTCCGGGACGCCTAGCGGGCTCAGTCAGAGCATGCGACTGTTGATCTCTGGGTTGTGAGTTCAAGCCCCAGGCTTGGTATGGAGATTACTTGAAAGTAAACTCTTAAAAAAAAAAAAATCCTGGGGCACCTGGGTGGCTCAGTCGTTAAGCGTCTGCCTTCGGCTCAGGTCATGATCCTGGGGTCCTGGGGCTCGATCCTCGAGCCCGCATCGGGCTCCCTGCTCAGCGGGAGGCCTGCCTCTCCCCTCTCCCACTCCCCCTGCTTGTGTTCCCTCTCTCGCTGTCTGTCTCGCTGTCAAATAAATAAATAAAATCTTTAAAAAAAAAAAAAAACAATCAAACAAAACCAATAAATGCTATGGAATAAAAACTTTAAAAAAAAGAATGATAGTAGCCAGATAAAAATAAATAAATACATACATACTTAACTGTGGAGGAGAAATACACAGAACAGACTAGCAACTGACTGGGGACAGAGACTGACTACTTAAGGACACCCAGGAAGGCTTTCTGAAAACCTTGAGCTGAGACCTAAAAGACCAAGAATTGGTCTAGAAAAATGTAGGGAACAAATGTTAACAGGCAGAAGAACAGCAAGCATAAATGTCTTGAGGTAGGAATGAATTTGGTTTATTAAAGAAAAATAGGCCAGTGTAGCTGGAGAGTAGTAATTGGTGAATTACATGTAGGGAGCAGAGGTTGGACCAGGGGTTGGAGAAGGTCACAGACAAGGGCTAGATCAGGTAGGATTTGGTGGAAGTCATGGTAAGGAATTTGAATTTTATTTCTAGGGTAATTGGTGGCATGGAGATGGTAAGAAGAAATTGGTTAGTTATGTTTGGAGATAGGACCTGTTAAAGGGTTAAATTTGGAGGATGAGGTAAAGGGAGGCATTGAGGAGAGAAGGGTTGGGTTTTTGGCCTGAACAGTAGTGGATGTTAGTAATAGTAAATCAGGTAAGGAAGACACAGAGAAGGAGCATCCTGAGAGGGGGCAGAACAGGAGGCAGGAGCAGAATCAAGAGCTCTGTTTTAGATGTGTGAATTTGGGGATTTATATTAGACTTTCAGGTAGAGAGCTTAAGTCGGCACAGGGGTATAATCAGAACAAGGAATTTGAGGGTCAGCTTCAAACAGATGACATTTTTAGCACTAGACTTTTCTCACTCAAGTGGCTACGAAATGTTAAGTGTTCTTTCCTCTAATAACAGCCTATGGTCTGACATTCATGACGCTGTCCTCCCTACATTTCAGTCAGAATTGTTTCTAAGCATTCTTCCCCAAAACTCTCCCAAAAGCTCTAATCTCTGCAATCCCATTATTCTTTATTTCCTCATCCTTGACCAGTCAGAACCAGTGGTTTTGAAAAAGCTCTAACTTTCTTTAATGTGTTAAATGTATATTTTATCATTTGGTCTCATTAATTGTAAATCTCTCAATGGAAATCTGAGAAGCCCTTATTTCTTTAGATGGTAATATACAATTGGTTTAAAAGATCAGGAATTCTCCAGTTTCCTTTATAACAGCGCAGTATTAGCAGTTTAATCTCAATGCTAAGTGAATATTTTGAGAAGAGACAGATGTTGAAAATTAAAATACATTAAGTCCCGATGAGGTGAAAAGCCAATTGTTCATTTCTGCCCACAAAGATTTGCTTCAGTCAGTTGATTTCAGCAGCTGAGATGCTGATCATTTCATTTAGTCCACCAAAAAGAATGATTTTTTTCGGGCAGGGGTGGGGTTGTCAAAATTCTGCCCTGCAGTACTGAATTCTTTAATAGGATGTATCTACTCTACTTCCATTGAAGGAGGCTTCTCTTTCTCTGATACCTGTGGTTTACCTTGGGTTTCTTCCAGCATGATTTTGAAGTCAGAGGAGATGTTGTGAATGGAAGAAACCACCAGGGTCCGAAGCGAGCAAGAGAATCCCGTGACAGAAAGGTAAAGTCCCACTCTGCCATGTTGACAAAAACCCCACCCGCCCCACTGCATTCCAATCCCTTTCGTGGAGATGGTCTCATGCACCTGTAAGGGGCATCACATACTGCTAGAGCACTAGCTGGGTGCTTCCATAGAGGTTCTTGTTTGTTTGTTTGTTTATTTTAAGGTTTTATTTATTTGAGAGACAAAACACAAGCAGGGGGAGGGGCAGAGGGAGAGGACCAAGCAGACTCCCCGCCAAGCGGGGAGCCCAACTCGGGGCTCAGTCCCAGGACCCTGAGATCATGACCTGAGCCAAACACAGACACTTAACCGACTGAGCCACCCAGGCGCCCCTTTTTAAATTTTTTAAAAAGATTTATTCATTTATTTTAGAAGAGAGAGCATGAGCAGGAGGGGCAGAGGGAGAGGGAGAGAGAATCTCAAGCAGACTCTGCTCTGAGTCTGGAGCCCCACATAGGGCTCAGTCCCACAACCCTGAGATCACAACCTGAGCCAAAACCAAGTGTCAGGCGCTTAACTGACTGCACCACTCAGGCGCCCCTAGGTTCTTTTCTCGTCCTCCTAGCCCAACAAGGTAAATAAGTGTTCTCTCTGTTTTATGAATGAGGGACTTAGAGGTGTAGAGAAGCTATGTACTTTGGACTCCAGTCTGGGGCTCAAATCTCAGCTGATAAGTGGCAGAGCTAGGATTTGAAACAGATGTGAATCTAAGGCCTTTGCTGTTTGCACTTCACCGTGGCGTCTTTCTGTAAAGTAGTGTGGTCATTGTTGCAAGGGAGATGTACACAGTGCTGTCTGGAAGCACAGAAGAGAAAGTGATCGATAAATCAATGTATACTATAATTTTTAATTTATAATTTAATTTATAATGTATACTATATGCCAGGGTCTGCTCTAAACACGCGATCATATTAACTCACAATTTTACAGCAGCTTGGGGTGCCTCGGTGGCTCAGTCGGTTAAGTGTCTACCTTTGGCTCAAGTGATGATCTCAGGGTCCTGGAATCAAGCCCCACGTTGGGCTCCCTGCTCAGGGGGGAGTCTGTCTCTCCCTCTCCCTCTGCCTCTCCCTGCTCCCTCGTGCTGTATCTCTCTCAAATAAATAAAAAAATTTTTTTAAAGATTATTTATGTATCTATTTATTTGACAGAGAGAGGGAGCAAACACAAGCAGGGGGAGCGGCAGGCAGAGGGAGAGGGAGAAGCAGGCTCCCTGCTGAGTAGAGAGCCCGGCATGGGCTCTATCGCAGAACCCTGGGATCATGACCTGAGCCGAAAGCAAACGCTTAACTGACTAAGCCACCTAGGCACCCTACAAATAAATAAAATCTTTAAAAAAATTTTTTTTACAGCAGCTCTATAAGGTGTGTACTGTAATTATACCTATTTAGTTTTAAGATTTTATTTATTTATTTGAGAGAGAGAGAGCATGAGAGGGGGTAGATGCAGAGGGAGAGGGAGAAGCAGACTCCCTGCTGAGCAGGAAGCCTGACATAGGGCTTGATTCCAGGATTCTGAGATCACGACCTGAGCTGAAGTCAGACACTTAACCGACTGAGCCACCCAGGTGCCCCTAGTTATACCTATTTTATAGATGAGCAAATGAAAGCTCAGAGAAGTTGAGTAAATTGCCCAAGCTCACACAACTAGTTGG